AGTACAAACAAAGTCAAGAAGTAAGCAAGTGAGGTCCAGTAGGCACAAGGCCTAGAAGAGTACAGAAGCGCTGATGGTCACAAGGCTGGAGCGCCTTGGTGAACACATCAGCAGTGTTGGCCTCAGTGGCCACGTAACGCAGACGAAGCTGACCGCGCTGCTGCAGCTCTCGAGCAAGGAAGTACCGCAGAGCGATGTGCTTCGTTCTGTGCTCCAGTCTGTGCTCCTCACACAAGGCAATGGCAGCCTTGTTGTCGACGTACAGCACTGGAGGAGAACGAGGCCGCTCTCCCAAGTCGGTCAGCAGGTAGGTCAGCCAGCGTAGCTCCTGGGCCGCCATGGCTGTGGCATAGATCTCAGCCTCACAACTGGAGCTGAGAACAGAAGAAGAGCGTGTGGAACGCCAAGAAACTGAGCCAGAGCCAAGGCTGAAGGTGTAACCCTGAGACGACCGCTGAGTAGCCTGGTCGTCCGCCCAAGAAGCGTCTGAGTGTCCAGTGAGTACAACTCGGTCTCGCCCTCCAAGCACTAGCCCCATGCCCGACGTACTGCACAAGTAGCGCAGCACCCTCTTAGCGGCATCCATGTGCTCCTTCCTGTGACGGCCAGGAGCAACATAGCGTGCAAGGATGCTAAGAGGGTATGCAAGGTCAGGTCGAGTGCAGGTCATCAGGTACATGAGGCAGCCCACAAGCTCTGGATACGGGCCACTCGGCTCTACGGACTCATCCGAAGGCAGAGCTGAGAGCGAGTGACCTGTAGGCAGAGGAGTGGACTGTGGCGAGGAGTACGTGAAGCGGAAGCGCTGAAGGATCTGCTGCACCATGTGTGACTGAGTCAAGGTGATGGTGCGCCGTGCTCTGTCCCGAGTGATCCGCAAGCCAAGATAGCTTGTCAGTTCACCCAGGTCTGTGCACGTGTGTCTCCTCTGCAGCTCCGACTTCACGTGGGCGAGAGCCTCAGTGTCAGCAGTGGCAAAGACCAAGTCGTCGACGTACACGAGGATGTAGAACGGCGGCAGCGAAGTGTCGGTGCGCAGAAACAGCGACGGGTCAGCAGTAGAAGGCGCGAACCCAAGAGCCGCAAGTGTCGTCCTCAGCGTGTCGTGCCACTCACGTGGCGCCTGGCGGAGACCGTAGACCGGCCGCTGGAGTCTCCACTGGGTACCAGGAGGAAACGACCTAGTGAAGCCAGGAGGGCGGCGCAGCCAGATCTCCTCGTGCAGGCTGCCCTGCAAGAAAGCAGTGCTGAAGTCAAGTGAGTGAAGCTCGTAGTCACGCTGAGCGGCTATGTGCAGCAGCACCCGAAGAGTGGTCATCTTCGGGGTGGGGGAGAAGGTCTGGAAGAAGTCGACTCCCTCTCGCTGACTGAAGCCTCGAGCAACGTAGCGTGCCTTGAAGACAGGAGGAGAACCCGGCGGCCTCTTCACCCTGAAAATCCACATGCCACTGACGATGTTCGCCCCAGGTGGGGGAACCTCGTCGACGTAGGTGCCTGTGGACTTCCAGGAAGCCATCTCTGCATCCATGGCTGTCTGCCACTGAGAGGAGTAGGGATCCGCCATCGCCTCAGCGTAAGAGCGCGGGGTCGGGATGTCTGGTGCATCCGAGTCTCCCTCAGGGGCAACTAGCATGGACACGAGATGGGGCAAAGCAGCAGCAAAGCACTGGAACTCCTCCTGTCTGTCCTCAAGGACGTCCGTGCCAAGAGCACACTAGCTGTCACACTCCAGAGCGACTACCACTACGGCTACCCCGGCAGCCCAAACTAGCGTACCACTCACGAGCCTGCTGGAGCAAAAGAGGACACGGCTGCTGCACCTGCCCACTACCAGAAGCTCCCGACCGACCCACTCCAGAGCGACTACCACTACGGCCACCCCGACAGCCCAAACTAGCGTACCACTCACGAGCCTGCTGGAGCGTGAGGGACTCACGCGCACGGCCCTGGAGCTGCATCTGGCCACGTCAGGAGCAGCAGTAGTAGCGGCAGTAACAGCAGTAACAGCAGGAGCAGTGGCAGTGGGAGTAGAAAAGGCAGTAGCAGCAGTAGCAGCGGTAGCAGTGCTGGCAGGGCAATGCTCACCAGTGGTCGGCGCGGCAGGCGCAAGACGGTGGGGACAGTGGTGTCGCTACAACTGCAGGGCGGGGCCGGGCCGCAGCAGGGAGCTCCGCGGCAGCTGCTGCAGAGCGAGGCCGGGCCACGACGGCAGCTGCTCCAGGTGCCAGGGGCGGCTGCTGCAGTGGCGGTTGTCCCAGGGGCCAGGGGCAGCTGCTACAGCAGTGGTTGCTCCAGGGGCGGCTGCTGCAGGTGCGGGCTGCTCCAGGGGCGGCTGCTGCAGGTGCGGGCGGCTCCAGGGGCGGCTGCTGCAGTGGCGGGCGGCTCCAGGGGCTGCTGCTGCAGTGGCGGCTGCTCCAGGGGCGAGAGGCGGATTAGGTCAGGGGTCCGCGGAGAGAAGGGCGACGCGGCGGGCAGGTGGCGACGCCGCGGGCAGGGCGACGCGGCGGGCAGGTGGCGACGCCGCGGGCAGGGCGACGCGGCGGGCAGGTGGCGACGCCGCGAGTAGGGCGACGCCGCGGGCAGGCGACGACGCCGCGGGCAGGCGACGACGCCGCGGGCAGGCGACGACGCCGCGGGCAGGCGACGACGCCGCGGGCAGGCGACGACGCCGCGGGCAGGCGACGACGCCGCGGGCAGGCGACGACGCCGCGGGCAGGCGACGACGCCGCGGGCAGGCGGCGACGCCGCGGGCAGGGGCTACGTTGCGGTCAGGCGACGACGCCGCGGGGAGGCGGTGACGCCACGGGCAGGGCGACGCGGCGGGCGGCGAGAGCCTGCAGGGGCGGCGCGCGGTCGGGCAGAGGCTGCGCGCGGGCCTGACGGGTCTGCAGGGGCGGCTCTCGGGCCTGACGGGCCTGCAGCGGCGGCTCGGGGGCCTGACGGACCTGCAGGGGCGGCTCGAGGGCGCACGAGGGCGCACGAAGGCGCACTAGCAGAGAAAGGCGCACGAGGGCGCACGAGGGCGCACGTAAGGTAGGGCGCACGAGGGCGCACGTAAGGTAGAGCGCACGAGGGCGCACGTAAGGTAGGGCGCACGAGGGCGCACGTAAGGTAGGGCGCACGAGGGCGCGTCTAGCGGAATAGTGGGCCCATTGTAGAAGGCGGTCCTAGGTAGCAACCTAGGCTTCTGATACCATGTTAGAATCTAGAATAGAACGAGAATGGGGTGAACTAGCAGGAAGGTGGGTACAAGTAGGAAACCCTAATATGGGTTGTACCCCCTAAGGCTAAACCCACTATAGCCTACACAATATAAACATACAATGTTTGACAACCATGCCTTGCCCCATATGACAGCCCATTATCACCGTAAAATCACCTGTCTACATGTAACCTAAAATTCAAGAATACATGACAACGCCACTGCGATGCGGGCAGGGTAGAAGGAACCTTCAGTATATCCACCCTTTTCTTACATCTAAAATAAAGATATGCTTTCTCTGGTTTATTTCTTTGCCAGATGATAGGTGTACTGTTTCTGTAGCATGAGACTTTATTTTAGGGTTTATATCGAACCCAATTTGAGGTATGCTCGTATAAAGTATGCTGCTTGTCAAATAATACTCGTTTTTACTTGGTGCATCGTTTTCACGTCCCGGGGTCCTCAATCTCCCGTTGCCAACTGGTTGTGTTTGGTGTTTTGGAAAATGACAAAACTGCCATACGACCACGTGTAAGCGTGTACAGTTGGGATGTTTTCTGTTTGTTTCTTTTATGAAATATTGTATATAGCACAGACGTTGTGTTCCAGCGATAGTTTAACTTAGCGTCGCGATTGCTGCGGTAGCATCACCACGCTTAGGAATATGTGGGGAATGTGAAGTCATCCTCCTGCGATGGGCACTGAAACATTCTTGAGACGCCAAGGCAGCTTTGGAAATTCCAACAGTGACAAAATGTATGTAAAATAGACAAGTGCTCCCACATGGCCAGTTGGCTATCGTTTCCAGCAATTCATGCTATCTCAAATGCTTCATCGCCAATTGCGGACGTTCCACGGTACAGCGCAAAGGGTCGGTGGAGATGTGAAGCAGCCAGCTGGCAAATTTAGATATTTCAGAGGTACTGTTTGGGCTGCAAATGTGCCACACTTCATACCACAGTGTGGTGAACCTGCGTCACGATACATTAACTATCCATTGTTGTTCAAGGCACATTTCTTTCGGCGACAGGGCAGCACTTGAAACAGAGTGTTTGTTACCTATAACAGGGCAAAACTCTTAGTGAGCAGTTGACTGTTGTGACTCACCTAAAAGTGGCCAATCTCCGACTGCAGAAAAATAACTTACTGCTGCGGTGTGTTCAACAGTCAGCCAGAACAACAACACAGAACAGCATTGTCATTGCCACACTGCAGCGGTAAATCGCTATGTGGGTAAGCACGCATTTGTCGTTTTGTACGTAACAAACGTACGCGTCAACCTCCTTGCATCCCACGGTAACGCCCAGCAGGGTCTCACCCACCATTGTCTCACACGATGCTGTGGTCTCAAGCTACCACTCGTGATAGGAGTCATGACGCAGGAACATCAACTCCTTCCCGATGGCTTAGTTCCAACCCACTTTTCCCCCTCTATTTTCAGCGACTAACACCATGCTCCAGGCGATTCGCAACACGGCGCGGCTTTCCTATGCCTAACATCCGCGACGTCACGCTATCATTTTCATACCGTCGGTCCGCATTACACGGCTTCCATTGTTGCACGTATCAATGTGCATCTTACTATCTTACCCTCTGACGTGACAGTACCGTGAGAGCTATATAGTTTCACCCATATCCGCCTCCATTCACAGCAACTCGCGGCGCTGCTCACACCATCCACCACCCCATCGTTATAAGCGTGCCGCGTAATCCTCTCACAAAACTATCCGTTCCCCAATCGTGCTACTTGACACACTTTGTTGGCGACCCGTCTCATGACCGCGGCCGGATCGCGCTAATGTACGTTGCTTCATCGAGTTCCCTGGTCTTTTCAGCGATTCATTTGTGTTATAAATATGGATCCCGGAAAGTAGTGTGTACCTATCCCCTTTTCAGCAGCCTTTAGTCACTCCAGTTGCGAATTTTTTATGTCGTATCATTTTCCGGGGGCTGTTACACATTATGTCAACTAAACTGCAGGTGTCAAAGGCGGCGACAAAAAAAAAAACACTGCCAGGGGTGGCTCGGTGCGAAGTTCCTGTGCAAGGTGAAGAATGATACGAAGAAAAAGTGCACGGAGGCTACACCCAAACCCTGGTCATATAGCGGTAACGGCCCACCTGGTGGCGAAGTTCACAAGTCCAGCCGTCCTCGAAAGGTGAAAGTGTGGTTTGCGGAAGGGGCTGATGCTACCAATGAAGGCGCTGATCCTGTTAAGTCTGCCGGGAAAAGGCTTCAGAGCCACGATTTGGACGATGGGGATCACATGGACGATGCAGAGGCCAACGGCAAGTCGGGTGCCGTGTGCAAAAACGAGGTGGACGAGGCGGTAGACGAGGCCGGGGGCGAGCCGGAAGAGGAAGAAGACTTGGCAGAGGAAGATGCGGAAGACGATGCGGAGGAAGAGGAGGGTGACGAGGCGGAGGAAGAGGAGGGTGACGAGGCGGAGGAAGAGGAGGGTGACGAGGCGGAGGAAGAGGAGGGTGACGAGTCCGAAAAGGAGTCGGAAGACGAGTCCGGAGGAGAGCCGTCTGACGAAGGGGACGAGGAGTCTGAGGAAGAGCAGGAGGATGAGGAAGATGATGCGGCGGAAGTGGCGGAGGGCGCAGATGCACATAAGACTCATGTCACGAAGAAGGCAAGCTTTGACGAGATGTTGGAAGAGCAGGGTGACAGTGATGGTGATGCCATGGAGGATGAGGCTGTGGCTGAGGAACGTGCTTTGCTGCCTGAAAAGCTGAAGGCGCTCGATGAGATCAAGGAACCAATCATCGGCTCGAAGTTTGCTGGAAAGGGCGCCAAACCTCTTTCGAGTGCAGGACCCTCTAAGGTTCCTCCTAAGCCACCGCAAGGGAATGCTGCAGTCGCCGCGTCTAAGGGAAAGGAGAAGTTGGTGGCGAAAGAGAGTATGCTCAGTGGGAAGACGAAACGGGAGTCCACCGTGGTGGTTGGTGGTGCACCGAAGAAGCAGAACACCGGTGAAGTTTCGGGCAAAGCGAAGGCAACTCCTAAGGCAGTAGGCGTTGGGGCACGTGGGGTAAAGGCTAAGGCAGCCGGTGGGGCTAAAGCGACCGCTAAGCAGGCCAACACCAAAACCAAATGTCAGACTGTTGCTTCGTGCAAGCACTTGTGATGTTGCATGTTAGTAGCACTTTTTACCTGTTGCATGTTTGATGCCACAAGGCAACGTCTCAACATGTCTCTGCCATCCCATCCTTGATGTCTCTTATTATTCCATCCATTCCGTCCCATCCCTACCATACCCCAACCTCCCATCCCTGCCATACCCCATCCTCCATCCCTGCCATCCCATCCCTTCCGTCACCTTCCTTCACTGCAGTCACCTTCCTCTCTTCCATGCCATTACCTTCCTCCCGTCCCTCACATTGATCCCATCCCCGCCATCGCCTTCCTCCCATCCCTCAAACAACTTTCTCCCATCCCTTCTATCCCTTGTACAATAAGCAGCTCCCAAGGACTCTGGAGCTGCACCACCGTTGAAGGTGATCACCGAAGCCACCAAGCGCTTCGAGCTCATACCTGCCAAGAAAACCAAGTCTGTGGCGGCATCCTGCGATCGCCGCAGGGAGCATGTTGGTGTATCAAACGCGGATCTTGACCAAGTCGAGCGACGCGTGATGGCATGGATCGCCGAAATGCTGTCGGCCATGGCTCGGGGTGCTGGTCAGTCCGTTGGAATTGGAACGCCTGCAGCAGCACCTCCACATGCTGGCCCGAGCAACAGTTCGTCGGAAGGGCTTCCCAGTGGCAACAGTCCCTTGGCAAACCACCGCGAAATCGTCTACAAAGCAGTAGTTGACTTCAAGGTGGGTTGCTTGTGGTGGACTACGTCTTGAGAAATTGAAGCGCGTGTGTTTCCGAGACCGTTGCTCTGTCTATCTGCCGCTCTTCCTCCATCCCTCTTGCTTCCCCAACCATGACTAGGGAACATGTGCGTACCCATACGTGGTGCTATGCTTGTCTACCACAACTCCTCTCAACCTACACCCTCTTGCTTTCCTATCCATGAGCAGGGGAGTTTAGCCTATGTGTAAGCTAAACCGTTGCTCTTCTTGTCTGGCCCCTCTCCCCTCATCCAGGCCCTCATGCTTCCCCAACCATGATCAGTATTTATGGAAGGATGTTCAAACCCATCTTGCCCTGTTTGTCTATCCCCTCCCCTAGACCCTCACAACCTGCTTACGCATCCAGAACATGAAGCTGACAATTGGCCCTAAACCATAAATCATGCTCTGGTTTGTTTGTCCTTTCTCCCCCAAACCCTTCCCACTTGCTTCCCACTTGGTTCCTACAAGGAGCTGAAGGTTGTGTGTAACCTTAATGTGTGCTCTGTCTGTTTTTCCCCTCTGTGCTAAACCCTCCCCACCTCCTTCCTCATCCTAGAATCGAGCGTTGTAAGTTGTGTGCTATCATAATTCATGCTCTCCTTGTCTGTCCCCTCTCCCCCAAACCCTACTCACTTGCTTCCTCATCCTAGAACAGGGAGTTGGAGGTTGCATATAACCCTAATTCATGCTCTGCCTGTTTGTACCCTCTCTGCTAATCCCTCCTCACATCCTCCCCCATCCTGGAATCGAGCGCTGTAAGTTGCATGTTATCTTAATTCATGCTCTCCTTGTCTATCCCCTCTCCCCTAAACCCTACTCACTTGCTCCCGCATCCTTGAACAGGGAGTTGAAGGTTGCTTCCCTAAGGCCGTTTTCTTTTAGCAGCTATCTTCAACAAGGACTTCCATCAACGGATAGATGAGGAAACTGGTGCTCACGGCGCTCGGTCAGCGAGCGAATAGGTGCTATTTGGGGAGGTTACCATCTGAACTTCTTGCTTCCCTTGAGTTCTACACAGATGAAGAAAATCATTGCGCGGTACAGGGATGGTGAGCTTGTACGATGTTTTCGATCTACACTCGCTTTTATGTTTGTGTTGCAACCATGAGTTAAAGTATGAGTTTGTTCCCCATGCTACTCTCTTAACGACCTCCCAAGATTTGTTCTCCTATCCCTCCCTTACCCTAGACAACTTTCGGGTGAGAGGGGGCTGGCTTGGCATCGTGAGCTCCTCATCCCTTTTGGCAGCCTCATCTTCTCGGTGTCGATTAAGTTGGCTCTAGCGCGTCGTGGGGTAAACACGAAGAAGATCAAGACCTGTCAGTTGGGCTGGATCTTATATGCGGTGAGGCTAGGGACTTAGATCTATAATTCTTGTAATGTATACAAATGCATCGTCACTCGTTTGCATGTGTTACTATTGATTGTTTGATTATCCCACCACAACCCACTTAAACAATGCGCCCGACGGAAAGCTGAGCGGCAAATGGGAGTACAATTGGATTCAATACGAGGAGATGTGCAAACGTGTTAAGCTGGAGGTCAAGACCGCCGTCGACCATGGTGTTCCATACGCCAGCAACACGCACACCTTCAATTTCCCCAACGGCGTCTACATCGACGCCTCTAACATGGAGAACCTTGTCAGCAGGGTGCAAGTGAAACATGTCTAGGACCAATATCTTGATGTGACACCGTTCTTGTTGATGTGACACCGTTCTTGTTGATCTGGCACCGTTCTTGTTGATCTGGCACCGTTCTTGTTGATCTGGCACCGTTCTTGTTGATCTGGCACCGTTCTTGTTGATCTGGCACCGTTCTTGTTGATCTGGCACCGTTCTTGTTGATCTGGCACCGTTCTTGTTGATCTGGCACCGTTCTTGTTGATCTGGCACCGTTCTTGTTGATCTGGCACCGTTCTTGTTGATCTGGCACCGTTCTTGTTGATCTGGCACCGTTCTTGTTGATCTGGCTGGCGCCGTTCTTGTTGATCTGGCTGGCGCCGTTCTTGTTGATCTGGCTGGCGCCGTTCTTGTTGATCTGGCTGGCGCCGTTCTTGTTGATCTGGCTGGCGCCGTTCTTGTTGATCTGGCGCCGTTCTTGTTGATCTGGCGCCGTTCTTGTTGATCTGGCGCCGTTCTTGTTGATCTGGCGCCGTTCTTGTTGATCTGGCGCCGTTCTTGTTGATCTGGCGCCGTTCTTGTTGATCTGGCGCCGTTCTTGTTGATCTGGCGCCGTTCTTGTTGATCGAGGCGAGGGGCAGCGGCGAGCGGGCGAGTGGGGAGAGGGAGGGGGAGGGGGAGGGGGAGGCTAGGTGGTGCGCGGGGAGTAGTCGGGCGGCGTGCGCCTGAAGGCGGTTTAATATCGCGCCGCCCTTGCTCGCCAGACCATCCACAAAACCCGCTAAAAGAGCATCGCTACGAGCCAGTTGTCGTGATTCTATCGACGGATCGATCGCTTCTGTCCGTTGTCCGCTTATCGCGAGCCTATCGCCGGCCGTGTCTCCACCGTCCAGTGCAGGCCTGCCCGCGTCCCCTCCCGGCCCGCTCCGCATTCCGCGGCGCGCATCGCGCCACGCATCGCCGAGCTTGCTCGCTGCAACGCGAAGGCGGGCCGCAACCTCTGAGTGAAGTAATCGAGCTCTAGACTGTTGCTCCCCGCCACTGCAGGGCGGAAGGTGAGGTAGCATAGTGGTTGTGGCAGTGACGGAGCGCGAAGGAGTGGAAGTGCTAGGAAAAACTGCCTCTCCAGGTGCTGCTGTCTAAGTCAGTGGCTGCTGCTGCTGCCGTGCGCGCTACTAAGGCAGCAGCGCGCTGCTGCTGCTGCTGCTCGCTCTAATGGGGCCGCGGGGAACGCTGGGCAACGAGGCAGCAGGGCGCGCGGAGCGGCAGCGTAGCAGGGCGCGAGATTCGACGGGGCAGCGCGGCGCGCGGGGCAGCAGGGTAGCAGAGCACGCTAAAACAATAATAAAAAACAAAAGTAAAAGGCCGCGGGGCGCGCTAGAGAACAAGGCCGTGCGACGCGCTAAGAAACGGGGAAGCGGGGCGCACTAGGGAACGTGACTGCAGGGCGATCTGGAGCTAACTTAGCTAGGGTGGGCTAGGACTTTGGAGATTAGGAGGCAAGCAGAAGCGAATTAAAACCCAGGGTCCACAGGTTTCAAAGGTAGGAAGGTTGGTTGGACTTTGTGCCAAAACCAAAGGTAGGAAGCTTGGTTGGACCTTGTAACCCAACCAAAGGTAGGAAGGATGAGGCAACTTCGGGAAACTTGAGACCCCGGTTTTAACATAGCGAGGGATACCATGTCGAGGAGCAGAGTTAGGGCGTGTTACATTTTCGATATTTTCCAAAACGAACCGGACCGTCCGAACGGTAAGAGATCTTGTTTTGACACTATAAGGAATTTTCTCGGCATCCCTTACGGAGTTCGGCTACATCGCGTACAACACTGTCGTTTGTTTCGCCCGTTACTGCTAACGGGACTTCGCCACTTCGCGCGCACTGTTTTACCAAACCTCGCACTGCTGGCCCGGCCGTGTCGGCCTACGCTTCGGGACTAGCCCGAGCCTCATTGCCAGCGTAGCACTAGCTAGCTCGCACGCACCGCGTTACCGTTTGCATGTTCGCATACAAATGTTCGCTCATGCCTTCGCTCACATCTTTGTACTCGTTTGACACTCTAGTGCAATCCTCGCTATCTCGATCCATTGCACCCGTAACACTTGGTATTCGGAGCTTCTTTCCTTTCGGACCGCGCATCTCCGCACCCCAGGAAATCAACTTTTGATTTTTCACTCGAAGGGACGCACGCACCTTAGCCCCTAGGAGCCGCTGTCCTCGCGTTCTCTCGTAAACGCGTGCAGCCACGACTGCGCCTAGACTAAGCTGAGCCGACGCCCTTCGCCATGGCCGAACACATCGACGTCACCACTCTCACGCAGGAGCGTCTGAACGAACTGCTACAGCAACTTCGCGAAAACTCCGAAGAAATCGCGGCGCTGACGGCAGAACGCTCGTCCCTGCAAAACGACCTCACGAGAGCACAATCTCAAGCACCTGGCACTCCGGAGCAGCCCGCACCCTCGACATCGCAACACGGAAGTGTGGGGCAACCCGCGAGCGCGGCTGGTGATGGCGTCGTCCGCCCCGACGGAGACGACGACCACGGCACGACACGCCCCGAGGCGACGAATGTGGCCCCAAGCCGGCCCCGCGTCACGATTTCGGCACCGACTCACGATTCGGAGCTGCCGTCACCGATGCCGCTGAAGCCGCAGCGTCCGCCATGCTTTGACCCGAGTCAACGGGGTGGTCCTACCGTTCAGGCGTGGTTGTTCACGATGAACGTTTTCTTCGACGCCAACTACGTCTCGGAGGATACGGCGAAAATTCGCTACGCCGTGTCGCTGCTGCGAGGACCCGCCATGGATTGGTGGCGCGTCATCGTCACGAAGCCGAACGACTACGCGACTCTACCGACACGGGAAGGACAAACCGGACCCTGGGCGCCGTCGTATTTCGTGGAGGTGCCCCAATATCGCACGTGGGACGCGTGGTGCGCAGGTCTGCGCGCTCGATTTGAGCCAATTGCGGCTTCGATCGCGGCGCGACAGAAGCTCCGCACTTGGCGCCAACTCGGTTCCGTCCAAGACTACACGAGCGCGTTTCTGGCGCTATGCGAGCAAGTGGGATACATGCACGAGAGCGAGCGCGTCGACCGCTACATCGGCGGCCTGAAGCACGACATCGCTCAGGAAATCCAGCTTCGCGGCGTCACCGACTTCCAGGAGATTCTTGCTGTCAGATTATGTTATTTGTCTAGCCTGCAGTGGGGTGCTCAATAGTGAGTACAACCCCTTTAGGGTTTCCTATTTGTACCAACCTGCTTGCTAGTTCAATCATCCTCCATCATTCCTCTTCTCCAATTCTCCTTCGCATACCCAAAACCCTAGTCCTAGGGCACATCCTACTACCTCTTAGTGTGGGCCTAGGCTACTAAGCCTAGGCCC